AATGGTTCTTCAACCGATGTTAACCAGTGATGAATACTACCTTGAAATCATCTTTTAATCCTGTGTATATTAGGAAAATGTTAGACTGGGATAAGTGTAGGAAGAAAAAGCCCCTTATATTTCTTGTCTGTTCAGTTTTGTTAACGACTAAACTTTCATCAACCCTTTTTGACAGCATGCAACACTCAGGTTCTTGAGACTTCAGTTATTTTTCATTATAATCTACAAAATCTATTATAGTACTCTGTTCTTTTAATATTTAGCAAAATAAGCAAATACATGATGCAGGTCAGTGCTAGGAACATTATGTGGAGTTCAATAACAAATTTATCTTCTGAAACAGTGGGTTGCATTTCATTTACAAATACATTCCAATGATCCACCAAATATTTATTCTGTAATGCTGAGAATATACCTCTTTCACTTGGTAAGATATAGCAATACTTACTGCGACTTAAAGTTGTCTTAATATTAGGTTCATGAAAAAAGGTATATAATTAGTTATTACTGATAACAGGTGACATCATAAATGATGAGTATAATGCACTCAGAAAAGAAAGCGTTACCACTTTCATTTTTGACTATAATTCGTTTTTAGTACAAGATTAAGATAAAATTACATAGTTTTATTTTCTATTAATTTGTTGTGGTCTCTAAGTTGTTTTGCATTTAGTCCCTTTATAGTCTTTTGGAATATAATCACAATTTAGCGAATTTCTTGGCCTTGCCTGATATTCATCACAGATGAGTACTTCAGTGTATGTCTATCAGATGGATGATATTTTCAAACACCATTGAATATCGCAACATTGTCTAAAGTATAAAAGGATGATTGGTCTTAAGTGAAATGAAATTGTTCTCCTGGATCTTATCTCTGATCACAATCAAATACTAAAGAATCCCTCAAACTTGTACTTCTGTTTCTATGATGAAACTCAGTGGAATCGACCACCTCTTCAAAACAAGATAGTTTTAGATTGAGAGTAGATAGACAGGGAAACGTGGACCTAGGTCTCGCGCCTGTGTTTTACTCACCAGGCTTGTATTTGTAACACTTAAGAAAGTGAAGCTTTCTTCGTTTCTAAATATTGATGTCGAAGACTGCATCACTAAGATATTCAGCAATGGATAAACTTCTGCGGGAATTGATTATCTATGAATTCTATCTGCAAATTTCTTGTTCTCTTAAGCTACTGAATTAGGTTGTTTCTTACATCCGTCTATTGATGTCTATTTCATCGAATATATTGCTTGTGAGTTATGGTGTATTTCAAAAGTCTCTTAGCGTGCAAAGTTTTAAAAGGAATTCAGCTCATCTTTGTGCATAATAACGATGAAATATGAACAAAGATTCCTTTTAACGAAGTCATTTAGTTGTTCATCATGATTATTTTGCTCAATACTTCATAAATAAGTGGGTATTTACTATCGCTTTGAATTTTCGAGTCAGAAATATGGCCAACTTTTTGAATACGCCTCTCCTAATCACTCATAATATCTGACCAAGCTAATGAATTAGGCAGAAGTGCTTTCAGGGAAAACGTATCCGATATTATTCTTCCAGTTACCGGTTCTAGACGTACGATGTGATAAAACATTAGACTTAGATTGAAAATGTAGGTCAAATATGAGCAATTTCGTTTAGAAGAATAAGACAGTCATTTTTAATGCTGCATTCACAATCTAAGTACGCGAACACTATTAGAAATTCATCGGTTAAACCACAAAACACAGTTAAGAATTCTCAGAAAAATGTGTAGTTCTAAGTCACTAAGTATTTAGGTGGTCGGTATAGCTAATAAGTTCCAAGTGCTTGTTTAAATTAATGAAAGTAGCAGTCAGATGTTTTGATAAGACAGATCCACGGTTAAAAATATTCCATTTTCAAATGCAAATGCTTGTCAGTCAGATTTTTGCCTGGAGATTTTGGTATTAAACTAACCCTCTTACTTATTAAACACTAAACTGTACACACAAAATTTAACTAGTATACACATTGCCTCTTCAAACTTGGTACTAGCTAAAGCCTGACAGTAAACGAGAAGGGCGTGTTTAAATATCCTGACGCACTTAGACCGATTTCATTTCTTTGATAGAATGTTGCTACTGGTATTAGTTAGTCGTTCATTAAACCAAATTTGATCGGCCTCAATTGACATATGGGCTCTTGCGCGGATGCCTCGATGCTGTCTGTTTCACTTTTCTATTAATTATGGACAGTGGCTAGCAGCGGAATCCAGGATGTTCTATTTGGCACTCGTCAACTATCATGACTCGGTTGCCCAGTGGCTTAAACTCTGGTATTTGAAGTTCAAGTCTTAGTGGGAAAAACACCGCCCACTTTGAGCCAGGCACATCGAGTTGACAAGTCTCAAATAGGATGAAACGCACATCTAGGATTTCACTGCTAGCCACTATCCATCAACAATATAAAATCTCTGATGGAATGCCTTAAATACGGAGTAATATGAGTACCCTATGTTTGTGTAAACTAGTCATCATGAAACAGTTTCGTAAAAGCTTTACGGTCTGACATACTGTAGAACATAATGAATCGATTTCATTTTTATATCTAACCTTCCAGCAAACTAATGGGATTCTCTCTTATTCAATTCTGGAAAAGAAACACCTCCATCCCCATGGAAAAATGACTTTGGTCTGTCACATTTCACATTCTCTAAGTAAGACATTACAGAACCTGAAGAGCTAACTATCGAAACAATTTTCATTTTCTGTAAATTATGCACTGCAGAAAGAAGTGCTACTGTCGAGCTCTGATATCTGACTCTAAATTTATGCACACTTCTCGATGCACCATCATCTCCGACACTGTTGATCCACCTGCGTCAGTTAGTGCAGAGATCAGGAGGTAACGCGAAGTATAAAGCAGGATATTGTGTTGACCAAAGAGCTGGCAAAAACCGTAAACCAGTAAGATTAAACAAATTTTCAACCTGAAGCCATTCATATATGACTACAGATCATTAATCATCCTGACTTGTGATGTCGACGTAAATAAGCTTTCAAGTGGTTCACTACAGCCTCTGAATTATTTATAGAATCTCCTGTCTGTTGCAGCATCTCAGAGTTTAAGTTTGGGAATTTCAAAAGACATTACATACACGACATTGGATATAACAACGGTAGATTATAATTCCACTTCAGTCTTTTCAATAGAATTGTCATACGGTGAAACAGTATTGTTCACTGGACAGGGTTTCGGACATAACTTATCGTCCATATTCATATCAGGTAACTCCATGACTTTTATGCATGCTTTATGTAGTTCTTATCCTCTCTTTTTCTTTATCATAAGGATAGTAGTATTTCCTGTATATCTGGGGCTGGTGCAGAATCATTTTTATTGCATGTTGTTGACGTTGATTCAATAAATAAAGATTCGGTTATCAACCTCTCCCTCTACCTAACTAAGTTTTTAATAACGTCGCTCTGCCCCAGTCTACTGAGTGCAATTGCGCACTAGCTACAGCCAAACTTTTCTCATCAAAAATCAACCAATTCTGATTCTGAAATACGGTTTTTCAGTACTTTGGCTGTGATGTCTCCATAAATCTGCAATTTTGATTTCCCTAAGTTTTTGTGCTTTGTTATTCTAACTGACCCTAGTCGACTACTTTGACTCATGTATTTGACCTCTCAGTCATTGCAAGGGATTTGGTAAATCAAATTATTTTACCTATTTGGATCAGTATGATCTTTTAACCTACGAAGTTTATTTCCAAATGAGTTTATTGGTTCAAATGTCACTCTAAGACCTGTGTCTCTGAGGCTTCTTCATAATCCTTCTTTACATAGTAACACTGTAGCAGCTCTGAATTTTCTCTCAACAGTGTCACCACTAATACTACTATTAGTGAATTTATTATTAAAATATATTACTACTACTACTACTCATATTTTTATCTTTATTTGCTATGAGTCTATTTATAAATAAAGTGGGTAATTATTGAGATGCAAGGTATTCTTGATGTGTCTCATTTTTTGTTCTACTAGTAAGTATTTTTGCCCTACTACTCAAGCATTTAACTAAACCTACTTTAAATGAGATGGAGTGTGATGATCTGAAGTCTAAGTAGCGGCTCGAGTGGGAAGGTTTCCAATGGACACTAGTCACTAAATTTCCATCTTGTTTTTGTTTGATCTTTCAATTCAACCCCGCTAACTCACCTCCATCTATTTCTAAGTCGCAGATAAGTTGGATTGCATTCACTACTGAGTTTATCTATCAAGAACTTATTGATGAGTTCTGTTTTCAGTAGTGAAATAAATGTGTTATCTTCATATCTGAACCATATTTTGGGAATAGGACTAAATGTTTGAAGGGCTATTTGTTCCCAACTATTCATAAATATGTCCGCATCAACAGACGAAAGTGACTATCCCCTGACAAGTCCTTAAGTTTATAAATATTTTATTTTGAAACCCAGATTTTATTCTTTTATTCTTCTAGATACCCCAAAACTGCCTATTTCTAATGTTTCACATCATCAACTAGAGACTGTAGTTACCAAAACATGTTTATAATACAAACAGCGTTTGTATGAATGGAATATCACCATAATCAGGTAAGCAGTAAGAACACAAGTCAAATATTTACTATGTACTCAATCGATGTGTTGATTACCTTCAAGTTGAAATACATTTAGATTGATGTCAATTTCAATACTTTTCAGCTCATATACTTATTCAACCAAGTAATTCTCGCAAGCATACATTTACTTTCTTAGGCAAATCTATGTAAAATAAAATAAGCTAATTATTCACTTTGAACATTGATACACTATGAACCATTCATATCACTAAAAGAATTCTATCTAATCAGAAGGCTTTGAAGCAAAAGTATAAACTGATTTACATACACAAAACACTAATGCATATAAATGTGTATATATTTTAATTTTTCATTCAGCTGAGCAGTTAGTAGTAATTTGTTTGTACTGAAGTAAACTAAACCATTGCAATAAAAGATCTGACCAACCATGTCACTGGTGAATAAACGCAGTACAATGGAACAGTTTATTACAGCATTCATTGAAATGGATAAAGATCACAATGAAATGATTGATCGACAAGAATTAGTCAGATACTGTCAGCAGAATCGAATGGATATGAAGCAAATTGATGTAAGTAAAATTCTTTCTTATTCATTGATTTCATTTTCTCTGAGTTGAGTACCCTCTGATACCTTTCAACAATATAGAGTTTATTCAGACTAGTTTTAACATTAGTCTATCTGAAAGCCATTAAGACTAGGAGTTATAGTTTTCTGAATGCGACATTATGCATAATCTAACTTGACTAAATCCAGCGACCTTCATACCAAGTGTCCTGATTTGTTCACCTTATTATTTATTGTATTACTGATGTGAAAATGGCAATAAAATAAAAAGTGGTTCTTTGGTCTTCCACCTAACTATTTATCTTATAAATGACTATCTGACTCAGTAAAGTTAGTTCGAAAGAATTCCGTAGATAATGTGCTTCATTACTTTTTTCAAGGGGAGTGTGCCGCGTCACCGACTAGTGAAGTCAGTCTTTCTCAAGGTACTGTACTTCCAACTTTTGCCTTCTCTCTGCTTACATGACTTACCACATTCTAACAAGACTAACTTCGTTGTATGCTGACGACCTCACAGTTTCTATACCTATCGTCCCTCAGTTAGATGGTTTCCAATCCCAAACTGATCATTGCTCTTCCTCAAATGGTATGAGGCTAGATCTTAGATCGTTAATTTTAGTCTCAGGTGCAAATACACTTCTGTGAATTGCTTTAGTCCCATAACTCTTGCAATACTGAAGAAACCTTTGTAGAAAGTAAACTGAGTTTTACCCACTTTTCTACCGATTTCTGGTGATCGTTTCATATCTTGCTAACTTCTAAAAAGTCCTTGACTTAAGATATTACTTAAGGAGGCTGGAACTTTTCGGCGTAGCTCAACCTCTGCTTTTACGATTTATTAATCCCTGTCCTTTGCAAATTATTCTTCATTGTTTCGCTGTAGTCTTCATTAGTCTACTGCATAAGTACTTTGTTGTTTGCGTGCGGCTTTGGAAGCTGCCAGCAGGGTTAGTGATATGCCTTTTAGTAATCTGACCGACATTGTATTTAACAGATATTTGAGTTCAGGCAGATAACTAGCTACATTCATTTTTTTAACAGCAGTCGTCCTCTGTATTCATATCTCTCTTCATATCTGCTTACGGAAGGTAAGAAATGATTTCATAAAACTCAGTGACTTTACATACTAATAATTCCAAACTTTATCAAAAATATTGTCTCAAATGAGGTTATTATTAATAAAAGAAAATGCTGAATTATTTAAAAGTTGTGTTTTGCTAGTTCTTGATGTTCAGAAAATCAAAGTCAAATCTTCAAATTCAAGAAAATCACCCATTTCTTTTGGTTCACAATGCAGTATAGTGAAGAGAATGAAGATTCTACAGACACCCGTAAACGTGACAAAGAAATTGACCACACTGGTTGTGTTGTTTAGAATAGGTTGTGTTATAGTAAATTGCTGTAGACTGCAACCCATGAACTTTCTAGTGTTGTCCATACATGATGCGGAATACACGCATATTTCCGATTACAGAGGTAGTACCTACATGCCAAAAGAGTGTAGTAGCTTTCTTACAAACCTGTCGACCGTCATCGTTCATGCCACTACTACAGTTAATGACATAAAGCTTGTGAAAAAACTATAAATAAAACTTTATTCATACTTGGATAAATACATAGTAAGATGGGCAGGATGTCATTTGCACATGCATTTGTCTCAATAAAATTATACAACCAAGATTTGTTCTGGATAGAAGAAAAGATTTGATCAATTTCAAGTAAACTGGTTGGTGGTTCTTAGCCAAGGATGACAAACACTTTTACAGAATGATAGATCATGCTAATTTTGTATACGCATGATTTTCAAAATTTTAACACCTACTTCCAATTTCAGTTAAATACACCTTTGTAGTTAGAATTTCTGGTTCTCGACAATTTTTTTAAGAGATTCTTTAGGTGAGTTGTTAACAATGAAGATTATGAGTCGGCGTGAAGGTGTACTGAACTATTATAGTTTCTATACTCAAGGTCAACAAAACAGAAGAACATGGATAGATATCGAAAATTATTTGACAAAAAAACTGATTTCTGGAATGTCATCAAAATGTTATATAATTTTCTTTTGAATGGTCAAATATCAGTTGAAACCAAAACCAGGTGAAATTATTAGCAAGATGTATCGCAGAAATCCAGTTTACTTTGGTTTTATGGCTAAACAAATGTGAATAAAAATTTATTTAAAATGCTAATCTTAGACTTTAGAGAAAATCCTGAAGAAACTGAATGGATGTTGACTTCTAAACAACATATTTTGTAGCAATACCTAGTGCGTAGTTTGTTCTGATTTCTAAAGAGAATACATTTTTATTTTCAGTCATGGATTTCAAGGTTCGATACAGACAAAGATGGTAAAGTCAGTTTGGACGAATTTTGTCGTGGACTCGGTTTGAAACAGTCAGAAATGTAAGCTATTCACTTTCTACATTTTCTTAGACCAGAATTATACTGAGTTAGTTGTACTTGTGTTCCATACATAAAAAAATTTAGAATAAATTATTCTTTATTTTACAATACAACTTTCAACAGCCATGACATTCTTAGACGGGGTAACATGATTTGCAAATTGTATTAGATATTAGGAACAATTAGCAGGAAGCCCTGTACCTACATTTTTTATATGCTGATGCTAATATGCAGGAAATACCTACAAAGTGGAGATAACTTATTTCGCATTTACGCCAAAAATCCTCATGACGTGTGTTTGAATTTGGAAAATTAACAGTTGGCTGCTAATTTCATCGTTTTATTTAACTGTTCACGGGATTTACAACACAGACTAGTGGTTTATTAGCAACTGTCGACGCTTTAGGTTTCACTGGATAGCAGAGTTCTCGTTCACAAAATGCTAGTCTCAATTTTGACTAATAGGCGCTTCTAAACTAACTGAATAGGATACCAGTGAAACATCCTGCGAAATCTTAACAAAGTGGGTAACAAACATAAAACCACTTTCTTGGGAAGTAAAACTAATAAATAATCACAGTATATAGACAAAATAAAGTTAAGGTAGATTACTCATCGTATCACAAATATTTTGTCCCAAGTGATGAAGAAGTGCACTAGCAATCAGTTAGGCTAAATGTCTGTCAGTTGTGTCAGTTTCCACTCATATATATATATATATATATATATATATATATTAGTTGCATGTAAACTTGAATAAATTCAAAGGCTACGGTAGTAGAGGTATAGTTTGTGCATATTATCTACATGAAAAAAGTTTTGGATGATCAAATGAACTCAGCCAGGTGAATTTTTAGCGACAGTCAAGGTGCCAAACTCAATCATGTAAAGCGATAAGAAAACCGTTTCATAGACTTAATAGAGATGGGCGTCTTGAAAACTAAGTAAACCTAAACATACCGACGTAGAATTGAATTATTTAATCACAAAAAATGACTTGTATGTCATAAGATTACCAAAACTCCAGTCGGAATAATCTTTTTTCGGTCAAGTATCCCTTATCTGAATAAGAAGAATGTTTTCTTGTGACAGAGTGTTTCTCAATGTTTCAACCTGAACCAGTACACCTGTTGCTATTTTCTATGCTACTCTTCTCTTAGCTAAACTTTACTTCTCTTGTTTCTTGACATTTTTGTTTTGTCCCTGAATTAATTAAAACATTTCTTGTTTTCTTTCCCCCCCCCTCTAAAAAATATCTATTTTAGACGTCATCTAAGAGACGAAATGAAACGCGCCAAAGATGGAAAGGTACCTGATCTCCCCAATGATATTGAAATTATTGCATCAACTATGTCAACGAGTAAACAGCACGAAATCTGCAGTAAGTTTAAAGAAATCGCTGGCAGTACCGGAAAAACTGGCAATGAAATGAGAGAGGTGACCAGTAAACTGAAATCATATTTGGATTCACAACATGGTCGTGTCTGGCAGGTCGTCATATTAACTGGTTCATACTGGATGAATTTCTCGCATGAACCATTCATGTCGATTCAGTTTAAGCACAATAATCATGTTTGTCTTGTGTGGAGAACACCGTGTTAACAGTGATAAACCACGAGGATACAACTTATGTAAAAGTATACAATTAAAAGGTAGTGTGTCATCTGTGCGAAAATAAACAAATTTCATGAACAAACAGTTCCCGCCTACATTTTAATAGTTTGTATCAGCCCTGTTTCGCTCATATGATCTTCCAATCAGCTATTTTCCATACAAACATAAGCTGTTTTCTTATTCCAAAGATTCTATTCGCTGCTAAATAAGTTATTATCTTCTTAATTCTTAATAAATTTTTAATAGCAAGTGAATTTGATTCAGACTTCCTTCTTAGAGATCCAAGTAGAAGTTTAGACATCGTAAATGAAGCCGAAACTGTATCGTTCCTCCCTTGGAATCTCTGTAAAATTGCTGCATACCGCTATACTTTCGGCGGTTAATTTAAATAATTACTGAGACTAACTGAGATAGCTTTGATCAGACAGATGCGTTTAGCTCAGTTAGTACAATTCTAGACCAGTAACATGGGGGCTGCTTCTCTTAATCCTATCGTGGTTCATTTTTTCATTTCATCTCCAATCACCACCTAACAGTAATAGTTTAAATTACTCTTTTAAAAGTATAACCTTTTCTATTGAAATTATTTCCTAGATGAAAGCTAAATTAATGTCCGTAAGTTCAAAGGAATGTTTACTCCAGAAGCTATTCCGACAGTTAAAGAAGCCTAGTTTGTACTAATCAAATTAAAAAATCATTAAAGAAGCACATTTTTATTTCCTTCTTTAATATTTCAACTATGTCGATAACGCTTTCAATAGTTAATAAATGAGTTAAAGCTCACAAGTGCAGAAGTTTAGATGCTCTAGGTTTTATGACAACAAGTTTTCAGGTGTTGAATATTGTGTCTATTAATAGCTCACCGGTTTGGTCAGAGATATTACAATTAGGCGTCCTAAATACAATTCCAGCCTGGAAGATGGTCGACAGAATGTCGGAAGTTCAGATGACTATTAGATACAGTGTTGGTCGGTCAATAACTGGATAATTCCTTACTGATTGACTTACCCTAATTACTGTCGCATCTATGCTAACCAAAGCCAGTATAGGCTGTTAGAATTTGGAAGTGTTTTGTGCAGTTCAGCTGAATGCCCTGTGGTGATAATTAAATTCTACACATTTTTATTTTTTTTGGAAATGGAGTTGCAAAATGTTTTCTAACTTTCCAATATCGTTCGTCTTATAAAAGCAATTATCTGTAATGATAGATATCTTACTCGAACTGGAGTCGCTCGATTCAAAGTTCAGAATTCTAATCACTACACCATATGGGACTATTCGTATAGCAACGATTAATTTCATGTAATTACAAATATTCCCACTCTCTGGTCTATGTTGTAAAATTTGTTTCGTTCATTGTTGAAAACTATGATAGATAAAAATTAATAAATTAGTGGATTGATAAGATTTTGTTTCTGTTTAAGGAGATACAACTTTGAAAATTAATAAACTACCTGTTCTAAGTGGGCTTTCTGGGAATAGATCTCTGGAATGAACTGTTATGCTTACTTTGAAGCAGGACACCAACTGAGTGGAACTTTCAGTTTGACTGCTTCAACAATGAATCTGATGGATGGGTAATCAATACCAGAAGTTTAAAGTAGGTTTTCTAGGCTGTTATTCCCATTCCAAATAATAAGGCATACGTATCTACGAACGTATCTTTCGTAGAATTGAAGCTTACTGATTATTTTTGACTAGGCTGCGTCTTCTAGGTTTTTCATAAGGCAGTGAGCTAAAAAAGGTCCTAAAGACGATCTTATTCTCAATTGCCCTCCTCAAGAATACAAAGACTATGCACAGAAGATAGTAAAGACGGCAAACTAAAGATTTTGTAAAGATCTTGTTTAAAGCCATAAAACACCATAGAAAGCTCAAATACTGGTCTTAAAAGGATTTTACTGTTGAACCTTGAATTCAAGAGGGATGATGTAACAGACGTTCTTAGGAAGCTGCCAACAGGATCCATAAGTAGAACATTTTCGGCCTCCAATCTTAAAATCGTACTCTCCTGCCAGAAACTCATCACTACGCAAAGGATCAGCTGGGCCAAATTATTATTGGCGTGCCACTTTGCTTCGTTCTGTGGCACAAAGCACGTTGACCGTACCATACACTATCTTGCAGAACCCTCTAGTTAACACTATCCAGCTTCACTGAAAAAGACAGAACGGAAAAGCACTTTCAGCTGTGTAGCAGAACACTTTCTAAACACTGGACGCTTGATTTCTTTTGATAAGTCCTTCAGTATTCTGCATGAAGTGTAAGCAAACCCTCAAAAGGAGTAAGTTTATGATAACTAGGTGTAGCTCAACCATTAGCAATTTAAAAGTACAAACCATCATTAAGTGTTTGAAAGAGATATGCGCAACCTGTTTCTTTGCCATGGCTGTTGTAAGGGATGAATCACTTCAGATAGTTATGCTGGGAAGTTACTATACATTACTTTCTAATTATTTATTTTATTATTACAAGTAAATTTCCTTTATCATTCAATTTACTTTAACCTCAGTGCAAAAACTACCGAGGAAAATTCTCTCCCTTCAACTATATATTCACGAATAAGCAGCTAAGAAAATGAGTTCTTCGCAAAGAGGAATATTAATATCTCACTGGCAGTATAAAATATGAAATAATATGTACGTGAAACTAAACAAAGAGACATTTAGAATGTAGAATTCACAAATATATGAGCACCAGCTTGTCCAAAATAGAGTAAAATAATGGTAAAAAGTCACAACAGATAGATTTCATCCTAGGTTCAATAAGTAGAGTACTGCGGTTATCAGATAAACATTTTAGATGTCTTTAGCCAGAGAAAGAAAGAGAGCGGAGTTAAATAAAATACGTTTTCACATCTGCATTCTCATTTTCTATGAAAAAAAATCACCTTCTGATGGATTTTTGTTATGGAAAATGAACAGTTTCATTCCCAAAGATCTATCAGTTATCCTGAAGGAATAGATTTTGATTTTCACTGTTGTAAATTTTTTTATTTGCAGTGCATTCAGAAAATGCAGCGCGTTTGAGGTGGGTATGAAATGAGCTTTCTGAAATAACTTTCTGGCTGATAAAGAAGTAGATTATCATTTTGTATCTTTGAGGAATTTCATTTTGTTCATAATATTCTAATTAAGCTGCTTTTCACTTACATTTTCCAAAACTTTCTGAAATTATGGTTACATTTGTAGCACCAGAACTTCTACTGACGGTGCAAAGAATCTTGGAAACATTTATTGGTTTTCCAATTGAGGTGTTAATAAACCATAAAACCAACCCGAAACAGTAATATGGCAGTTTCTATGGGCAGATAAAATGATTAGCTTGTCGTATGTCGCCACATATGGGCATTTGCATAATATCTCGATATCACTTCTCTTTTTAAGTTTACCATTTACAGTACCGTAGAGTAAAACCATGAGAAAAACTATTCATTTTCTAATAGCATTGTCTTAGGATGGTTATATAGCTTCCAAAACTAGATAACGGGATGCTTTTTATTCCTCAGTATAACTAAACTTGTCAATCATCACTGCTTTCATTGAGCAGAGACGCAAAACTTTATATTATTCGACCTAAATTATTGTTCTCACGCGTTTATTACCTCAGAAAAGTGTCGATATTTAAGAGACGAAATATTTTATTTCGTTTTTGTTGACAATATGAATAAACAACTAAACAAAACATCTTTATCTACTTTCAATAAAAACCTTCTTCTTTGAACTATAGTGACAACAACTAGCATGAACTCTGCAGATATCCAAAACAAGTTGGGATTTGTTGATCGGTAACTCCAAGGTAACCAACTTCAAGTTGTCTGGATCCTAAGTGAGGATCAAATTCTGCTGATCATTCTGCAGTGTGGCCATTAGGACAGTCATAAACCGAATGGCTGATTGGCAAGGTCCTGAGCTGTAGCACTAGTTGACGTTGCTTCGAATATCAAGCCCGACATCGGTTCCGTCTGAGTCGCAGATACCCCTTGCTGATGAGTGCTAACGAGCACGAAACCTAGGTCTAGGCCTTCCTATCGGCAGCCTTCATCTAACTAACTAGTTGAGATTTAACGGTTTGAGAAACTTTTGGCATTGGGTAAATTGCACTAATTAGTTTCGTATTATTATTTCCACATGAATCCAAAGCAAAATAAATTTAAGTGACGTTTCATCATTTGATGCTAACAGCTATTTCATAATAGTCGCTAGCCGGAATTTGTGGATGTCACTTGTACTAGCCATTCTTAAATCAGTTGAATACTGGATCCCTCAATATCAAGTTCAGCTCAGAAAAAGAAACGGATAGCAGTGAATTACATTTCTGTGGTTGTTTTGTTAAGCTGAAAGAGAATAGATATTTTGGCCTGACTATTTGCAGAAAAGTGACATATTCAAACAAATATTTAGGCTTTAATTCTTTCCATCTCGGCCCCCTAACCTTTAAGGATAAACATGCACTCTAATAATGGATGAAAATGAAGTGAATAAGATCCTTAAAATGAATAGTAATCCGGAAAGTACAATTCAAAAAATATTAAATATTAAACCTTATCGTAAAAGTACTCAGCAACCATGGACAGAAATAATAGTCATCCCATGCAGGTCACACACTCCAGATGATATTGGGAGAGTACCTAACAAATGAAATACTAGTGTTCTACAGAACCCCATACTTCTCACAGATCACCTTAATTCATGCGAAAAACAAAATTCCCCTGCATTCGTAATCTAATTTTGTTCATAGAATGAAATGCTCAAACTGTGATGCAATATACATAAGCCAAACTCCGCATTTAACTAAACGTAGAAAAGATGAACAAAGTAGAGCTTCCACCTGACCCCTGAGAAATTAAGCTGATCAGAAAAAACTTGAAAACACTTCAGCCATAGCTCTACACGGTATGATTCCAAGTCACGTGGTTGACTTAGACAATATCAGATTTATTCAGAAAGGTTTTGGAAACGTTTCATAGCAGAATCTCTACAAATAAA